CTCCCGCCGTAGATTTATGAACCGATGGCGTAGCTTCTCGACATTCATATGTGCTTGTAACAGCCTAAACTGAAAAAATGGTTTTGATTATGATTATGACCGTTGAATAAATTTTGATGAATTTCAGTTATAGTTACACAGGTTTGGGCAATTTCGTTTTTTTATTGAGAAGTTAAAATTTTGGACAGGTGATATAGAGTGATGATATTTGTATAGTCTATATAGACGAATTCGTGGCAATTTGTTCGATATACATATATCTTACATATTATTTAAATGAGCGGCGGCCATATTGAAATTACTACTTTTTTTACTCTTCAACACACTTATTTTTTATATTTAAAGGGTGATAAACATGCACCGCGACCGCGTACCGGGAAACGCAGGAAATCCATGGGGGAGGCCTATGTCCAACAGTGGACGTCTTTCGGCTGAAATGATGATGATGATGACGAAACATGCACATGGTTCGTCCGATAGTAAGCGAATTCCATAGTCTATAGAGGTTTGGAATACCAAAAGTATAGTCATTGCCTAAACCGACACAATTCCCTATCCTGTGGAGTCCTGGTTTCATATTTATCATTACATTTTTCTTGTCTTCCATGTCTTATCAATCCCTTTATATCTTCTAGAACCAGGTTCCTATGGCCATTAATGGCTCCTTTATCAGTTCAGCTCCTCACAAGCAAAGCAAAGCACTTGGGGATTGGATACAAGACAGGTATGACAACCACCAAAATTAAAATCAGTATGATAAAGTTCAGAGCCAAATAATAGCCTATATCGAATGCTGTTTTTAAAATAGGCCGTTTTTGATCATCACAAAACAATTTCGATAACGTGTCTATCATATTATATATTCGAGCAATGTTTTACCATGCGATTACGTATTCCTCCAATATCAAAATTTAAAAATATTCCACGTCATTAGTGAAAAAAATAAACGGACCGCGAGCCATTCCACCTCCCCGTTTCGATTGAATGTTGATGCAAATATGGGCTTGGAAGGCGCACCCGGCCGGATCAATACGCGCGTGTTGCATGCAATACTCCAGGTAGCTTCAATGACGTGAAACCGAAGCGAAAGCACGTCGTTTGTTTATAAAAGTAAACTTAAAGAATATTGTTCATCAAAAATGAAAACCGACTGACTAAAAGTGGAACTAAAAGTAAAACATAATTAACGGTTCGCACCAATACTATGAGTTGAAATCGGGCGGACCAAGATTGTTACATTATAATAAATTTTCATTTGTAGTCTGTATACGTCCTTTGATTTCTTACGACCAAATGAGTTCGTTTATTATTTATTTATTGAGTATTTTATATAAGTAGCGTTAGTAATACGCCTTTTATAGTAAATTACAAAATAATGTAGCACCTAGGAGTATATCTGTACCTCGCTCTTGTTAGTAACATATTACTTCTGGATTTGTATGTATTAAATTTTATTTGACAGATGATGATATGGGTAAAGTGGGTAAAGCAAACGAATTTTTATTTATTTTATTATACAAACATAATCATACACATACAAATTAAAAAAAACCATACACGAAAACCTGTTAAGGTTTATATGTGTATGGGAGCCACGCATTTACCACTTTATACACTTTCAAGTTGACTATTTTGTAAGTAATATCTGTCTCATCACATTCGGTTAGAATTATGTATTTTACCTTGTCATAAACATTCATCACATTAAAATATCGAAATAATTCTTGTGCGTTACCTTTATATTTAACTTTTATATGTTTGGGTACAATTATATTTAGCATTTTATACTGAATTTTATAAATATCCTCTATGTACTCGTATGTCTTATAAGTTCTTCCCTATAAGACATACATAGATTTAGTTCGTCGGTTAGATTATCAAACATTGATGGCACTGACGATGTCGTCACTGGACATTTCAAATCAATTAATCTCTGTAATATTTTGACTACATGAAAAAATAAAAAGTAACCATTATTGTTCGATAATCAACCTGATAGATGAAAAAATTGTCATCATCCCTATTAATGTGATTTGATCGACCGATGGAAGATAAATTATTTTCCATGTCGGAACGATACGAATGGCTCCACGATCTTTTATGTTAATAAAATATCAGAAGACGTATATTACGATACCGAAGTTTCTGAAAGGCAATCAACCAAGTACCTGAAAACGTAATTTAACCAAGTGATTAATTCGAATCGCACGGTCTTTAGAAAGATTACTGTAATAAGTGACTGTCTGAATGAAATTCGAAGATGAGAGAGGAAGATAAGAACTGAGGAGAGGATACGTAGGACACATTGGATTTTCAGTTGGAATCGGAACACTCGTCTGGGGAAATATCCCTGCACCGACACCGTTTACAAGAATGTTATCAGATCATATTTACTTCTCCTGTAATAAATAATGTGGTGAGAATGTATTTGGGAAAGAAATTTATAACAAAGATGTTTTATTTGCCCCATATATTAGCTACAATTTAGATGATTTGCCTGCATACGCCGCCAGGAAAAATATGCACAAATAATGATGGGCAGATCGAATATGGAAGGCATTGCTAGATTTTTTATGAGCATTAAATATTTATTGATTCGTCGACACTCAATTGTAAATACATAGAAGTTTCACCAGTGAGCTTATATATACAGTGATTTCTTATAGGCAGTCACAGATTTCGGTTCGATTCCGAATTTTCTACATGTACGTGTATATATTAGAAATTCATATCCTTTACCACAGGCTTTTAAAATAAAGTCCCTAGCAATATCCAACAGTTGGGCGTCAATATAACTAAAGTTAAGTTAATTTGACGACCTCCATGGCCGAGTGATATGAACGCCGAGTTGAATGGTGTCGTCTACTCGAGAAGTTCGAGTCCCGGTGGGGGCAGATGTTTGTGTGATAAATAGTAGCATTTGCACTCCAATCATGGATGTTTAATATGTATTTCTAGCTAAATATACTAATATGTATCTGTATATTTATTCTAACCGTTACCGTCCTATCCCATAACACAAGTCTTACAGAGCTTACTTTGGGGCTAGGCTAATTAGTGTATTTTAAAAAAAAGCTACTATGGTACTAATATTATAGATGTGAAAATTTAGCATTTAAACAAACAGATACACAAAATTTGTTCGTCTAATGGACCTGAGACTGAAGAGATGCCGCGCTTTGTTGAAGCGATACGCAGGGAAACAATATCGAGAAAATCATTTTTCGGATGAAAAAATTTTTACCGTAGAAGAGAGCTACAACAAACAAAATGATAAGGTGTACGCACACAGTAGTGAAGAAGCGAGCAACCGTATTTCGCGTGTCCAACGAGGTCATTTTCCATCCTCGCTCATGGTATGGTTGGGAGTTTCTTATTGGGGCTTAACAGAAGTACATATTTGTGAGAAAGGTGTAAAAACGAATGCAGTTGTGTATCAAAATACAGTCCTGACTAACATTGTGGAACCTGTTTCTCATACCATGTTCAATAACAGGCACTGGGTATTCCAACAAGATTTGGCGCCAGTTCATAGAGCGAAGAGCACACAAGACTGGCGGCGCGTGAAATCGACTTCATCCGGCACGAAGACTGGCCCTCCTCCAGTCCAGATTTGGGTCCGTTAGATTACAAGATATGGCAACACTTGGAGGAAAAAGCATGCTCAAAGCCTCATCCCAATTTAGAGTCACTCAAGACATCCTTGGTTAAGGCAGCCGCCGATATTGACATGGACCTCGTTCGTGCTGCGATAGACGACTGCCCGCGCAGATTGAAGGCCTGTATTCAAAATCACGGAGGTCATTTTGAATAAACTTAATTGTTATAAGAATCTATATTTTGTTAAGTTCATTTTGGTATATAAATGGTTACATAATGAATAAACTTGTTTCAGTTATTTTATATTAAACATGTGACAGAATTTATGACCTGACTAGGTATTATTGATTTTTAGACTTCTTTTATCCGTAATGAAGATCCATCATATCATTTATCTATATTTGAAGAGGCCTATGCCCAGCAGGGGACTAAGATGGGCTGTTGGTGATGATGATGATATAATTTATCATTAATTTTTAACTTATAATACTTAGGATTAAAGAAATATTTTGAGTTGACCGGTTTTTATTAAAAGTTTTTTTTTTTACTTTATATTTATGTCACTGGCTTCCGTAAACTGTGGTCCGACGATATGTCAATAAAAGAGTCGCTCTTGTTTACCTTCATATTGAATAAAAATGCATTAATGAGTTGAAATCGAAACTAATTAATCAGAGAAAATAACTTCAAGGAAACAATCACAATTATAACTTTTAATGTAACAGAAGGGTCAAGGAAAAAGGTTGCCAAGTTTAATGAAGAAGTAGTTTTAATTTAATAATTATTGAGAAGCACCAAAACTTTGTTTTAGATCTCTACGAAATGAGTTAGCTACTTAACCAAAACATATACTATTGAGTTTTTAAACGTTAAACGTTTGAATCTTAGGATTTTGTTTTAAGAACTTGCACATTATAAATACACCTTTTGATATGGCAGCAGGGTTATGTCAAAAGGTAGCCAGATTTAATAAATAAAGTAATTTTTATTTTAAAAGTAATTAAAGGTACCAAGACTTTTTGTACATGAAGGATGACAATTAGGTTTGGGTTTGAGTAAATTATAAATTTCGCCTTCAAAAGTAATTGTGTAAAAAGTGAAGTTAAAACAGATTAATTAAATTAAATTAGTAAAGGAATTGAATTGACAATAATCTCAAGATTAATATATCTCCTGTCTACGCTTGCAATATACTGCTATAAAAATGGTTACTATGTATTTGTCTTGGATGTTCCACAACCGTGTTTATGAGTCAAGATACGATACAGTCTCTCGTTTTACTCAGCAAAACAAACATAGTTGCATTAAAGTATTAATATTCAGTTGACATAAGATAATGTATCTACGTTTTTTATTATAATTTAGTGAATTATAAAGATTTTATACACAAAAAGTCTGTCATTAAAATGACTTCCGTGGAAGGAGTCGTGTTAAAAAACAAGAAGTACGAACTGGTGCCACCAGATGGAGGCTGGGGATATATGATAGTTCTGGCTTCAGTCATTATATTTGTGAGTTTTTCATTTCTTTCGAGATTCCTGATTCTTATCTTTAAATAAAGCGCTAAGCCGTTGTTCAATTCATAAGTTACTTATAGATTTTAGTGTAATATTTGTGTCTGTTTATGAACATGTCGTTTAAAGAAACAGTAGCTCCAATGTACCCATTGAGGTAATACAATAAAGTACAATATTTTGTTTTCCAATATATAATTTCAAACATTGGCTTTTTATTACGATGCGTGTCTTTAGATTGTTTCTTATCATTATGTTCCACAAGCTGTGCCCCGCGGTGGTACCCGGCCGCGGTTTATTAGGGATATTTTCTCGCAGTAAAACGTAGCCTGTGTTAATCCAGGGTGTCAGATAACTCCATACCAAATTTTATTAAACCACTCCAGCAGTTTAGACGTCAAGAAAAAACAAACATACACACACACACACACACTCACAAACTTTTACCTTTATAGTATTAGTGTGATTACTTTTTAATTCAGTGAATGGTAACTAAAAGTAAATAGTTAATGATATTGAAATGTATATATGTATAAAAATAATAATGTTTTACCTCAAACCTTTTGCTGTACGCCAACCAGGGCCAAACGTGACATGGTGTCATTGTGATACAACATACCTGCAAAAGAAAAAAGATATTTAATTTATTTCATTACACACAGGCTTTTCCAATAAACGTAACAACATTACTTTTTCCAGATTGCCACAATATCCTTTTTACCATTTTTCGGCTTACTCTACAATGATTTTCTCAAAGAGATTGGAGTGAGTTCAACCGAAGTGACCGTGGTCAATGGAGTCTGCGCGCTATGTTTGTCTATAGGAGGTAATCATAATATTTATACTTAAAAAAATCATTCAGTTTCAGTTTTACAAACATTTATGAATTCTGTACAACGACGCGATTTTTTTATGCATAATAGGCAGTTCCTTTGATCACAATCTCGCCTGATAGAAAGCGATGATGAGGCTTAGGATGGTACACGCCTGCCTGTAAGATGCCTGTTCACTCTGTAATATAATATATATACTCTGTAATATAATTTTAACTATGCAGTTCTGTAAAACACGCTAATAAGTCAGCAAGGGCTTATTTAAGTGAAACTTTTATAACATCTTCACACTTTATAAGTTCATCTAAAGCATGTCGTATTACATTTTTATTTGTTACTAGCTGTGCCCCGCGGTGTTACCAGCTGTTTATTAGGGATATTTTCTCTCAGTAAACCGTAGCCTATGTGTTAGACCAGGGTGTCAGCTAACTCCATATTAAATCGCTCCAAAAACGCGACGCGATGCTGCACGCTGCACAGAGCGACTCAAAACATAACTTTATTTACTACACGCAAAGATACACATTTCATTGTTTGAATTCAGAATCATTATAATACCTATCTTAAAGAGGTGTTCGGAATATTTTGTTACGCACGACAAGAGTCAGTCAGTCTGCGCGGCCACTGAGCATGTTGTGACTTTATTTTGTTTACCTACATTTTCATACAGTTGAACTGTTCGTTTTGTGTTTGCCAGCACAGCAAACACTCATTGAGATAAACAATAATCTAATTGAGATAAAATGAAGAAAATATTTTTAGACAGTAACTTAAGATAGGTGCATGCTCTAGGTACTGTTAGAAATTAAAAACAAGCATGAATTGTTAGTTTTTTTTTTCATTTAATCTGTGCCGATTATAGTCGGCATGTTTTGCCGAATAGTCGCCGACTAATCGCAAATTACAAATGATGCCAAATAGCCGTCACACAGTCACATTATAAATAAAGAAAAAAACAGAAATTGTTTATTCAGATTAGGCTTTTATTATAAGTACTCATGAATGTCTAGAAGCTACGCTCTGAACGATATACGATCCGACTGGTTTATATATCTACGCCAGGAGACCTTGTACTGTGAAGAACTGGCAAAAACTCAGCGATGGTTATTTTTTCCCCCTGTATTTTTATAAATACAGAGTCGCCAAGTTGTCGAGTAAATAAGGTAGTTGAATTTATTTGTCTGAGAAATCTGGGTCTACTGTGCTTACATCCAGTCTTGTGTTTGCACTCACAGACGTACCTAAATTAATTATTAGGTCAATAAAAAAAGCGTTGTCATAGCGATAACAGACATTGTATGACTTTTATTTAATTTGTCTCTTGGTACAGCCGCTATTCTCAGAGTGATTGAAATTGCTATCTCATAAGCAGAAACGCAACATGACTTGGCATTTCTGCAACTAAGAGATAAAAATAAAGGTAATTCTTATCTTAAATCTCGAAGTTACAGTATCAACAATCATGTTTATTTAATGATGTACTTAGCTTCTTGTCGATTTAACAGAACATGAACATGAACAGATTATTACCTTTGTTATACACACAATCATACAGTTTGTTTATGATTCTAAATTAAACAAGAATCACGTTAAGCCAATTATTAAAAAGCAATGGGTGAATAATGAAAAGCATTATACTCCTTGTCTTATTTATAATTTTCGGCGGTTCTCTTTAATATTTGGCCAACGTTGAATCTGAAAAGCGAGTGCCAATAGTTTTATTTACTTGTTGTTATTTCTAATTTATCCTTTATATTGCCTCAAATCTAGTTGTTGCAATAGAATAAACAAAGTATCACCAACATCAGCATCAGTTCCACTGCTAGAGCACAAGGCGTACACGGTACACTCAATCCCAAAGATAATACGGGCCATAACCTAACACGATACCTTGGTGCAGCCGGGTTGGTGGGTACTGACGCCTGCAGAAGCAGTCGGTGCTTACGATTAAGTGTACTTTGTGAAGGAAAGGGGATCTCGATATAGAAAGTAAAGTTTGGTCAATCAGCCAGATTTCTTTATTTAAATCAGGTGAACAAAGATAGAACAAAGGAACGCACCTTTTTTAAGTGGTGGTAGAGTCCAGATGCGAAGATAACTGATTAAGTAGTTTTATCAGGCACAACAACCATCCTCACTTGCCTCGAAGGAAGGAAGGAGGAACATGCGCGGACAAAGAATTCTACTTACAAAAAGTATGACAAAGAGCTGATTTACCTTTCTTTGTTCGCGTGGAATAAAATTATAGCCATACATAGATTTTAATATTTCAAAATGAACTATATTTTCTCTTTGCTTGTGTATTCAAGTTTTAAGTATTTATAAGGTCACTTGAGTGTCTAAATCTCTTTTGACAGTGAAATGTGAAGGGGGAAGGCGGGGGCTATACACAGACGTGGGTAAAGAATGCTACTTGCAAATAGTACGACAAATAGTGTGGTGGTTGATTCACCACTTGTTGGCGTTGGAATAAAATGGTTGCCATAAATAGATTTAAATATTTCATAGTTATGTTTTGTCTTTGCTTGTGTATTCAAGTTATAAGTGTAAGGCGTCTAAGTATGAAATTATTTTTCCAGGCTTTTTAACGAGTCCGTTACTCAAAGTAATGAACTTTCGCACGCTAGCAATAGTAGGTGCTATAGTATTTAATATTGGCTCATTTCTACTCCTGTTTTGTAAATCAATTTTACCTTTCATCATTTGTATGGGCATTTTTCAGGTAAGCATTGTTTATCTTAATTTAATATTTTCCTTTATTCCTAGCAGTACCATGTAGGTGCTTGGAAACTGTTTTGTAACATTAATTCCTTTTTGTGTGCATTCGAGTGCATCCCTGATAGGCTTAGATTCACTTGGCTGTATTCAGAGATTATTAATTTTGACACAAATATTTCTTCTCCAGTCATGGTTGATTTAAAGTTGAGTTGATGTTCCTTTAGGGTTCCTTCAGTAGTTAGTAAGCATAGCTCTACTTGGTTTAGATCTAAAAAAAATAGGAAAGCTGTTCAAAATTAATTTTGTGAGTTTTGTATAACTGCGTGATTATTTATTTTCTGAAACCACTGGTTATAAACCTTAAATCCATTTGATCGTCACTGAATCGTCGCGGTCGCACTGGTCTTTTGAATCTGCAATGAAATTTAATAAGAAAATTCGGTATTTGAGCCAGTTATCCGCTTTTGACGGTTGAGAAAAACTTTAACCTATACAAGTTTTTTTTTCTGCTTTATTACAGGCAACAGGAATGGGTTTATTATACAATCTAAGTTTCACAATACTCAACGATTATTTCGTACAAAGACGCCTCTTTGCTTTTTGCACGAGTCAAACTTTAACAGGTAAGCTGCCAATCGTTGGCTTAAAATTATTCCACGAAATAGTCCTGCGGCTGAAAAGATTCAATTTATTTAAATACGAGCTTTTAAATCTTAAAATTTTGAAAGAGCCAATCACTGAGTTCAATTAGATATACTTACATCGATATTTTTCATTTACCGTAAATAAATCTCATGAACGAGTTTATCACCCTGTTAATTTTAAGTTTACATTTCGCTCCCTTTTCAGGTCCAATGGGTTTATGACCGCGAACCTGAAAAGGGTCCGAAAGGTGAAGTATCAAATATGAAAAAAAAAATGTACTACAGTACAAAGAGTGCTTTTAACTTCCAATTTTCGAAAGTCCTGAAAAATCACTCTAGGATCCTAGGAGTAGTCCTAGGATCCTAATTTTTTAACCTGTATTTAAAATCTTACCTTAACCCACTTAAAAGCGTTAATCATGTCTCTACTCTTGAGATCGCGGAAAGATTAAGAAGTAGAAGGTTTAAAAGTTAGATGTTTGCCTCTGATATTACAAATGGGAAAAGTATTGTAAATATGGTAATGGAAGATGTCTGCCATACCAGCCACAACTTGTCAGTTTGAAATTTATTGATCGGATAATAATCATAGCCACATAGTGCAAGCAATGTTACATGTAGGCGGGTTTGCCTGAAAATTATTTTATAGAAGAATATTTTGAGGTCCTGTTCCATTTTTCGTTTCAATCTCAAGGCTTTTGAAGTTTTAAAATTTTTCATTTCTTTTTTGATTATATATTAATTTAAAAAAGTTTCTATGTTTTCGATGTATAAAAATACATCTGGCAGGTATTTTTCGATGGCTCTTTTTGTTGCTAAATGTGTAAAATGTCCAAAATTATTAAAATTTTAGCGATATTCGGCATGTTCGCGCCACAACTGATACTATCATCTCTGGATGAGTACGGGTACCGAGGTACGTTACTTCTAGTGTTGGCCATTGGATTGCAGACTTTCGTTGGAGTTGCTCTTTTCCAGCCTGTTGCTTGGCATATGAAGAAAGTCAAATTACCGACTGTAGAAGGTACTCTATCCACTTTTGAGATTATTGCATCTCATTATTTCAATATTTTTATATTAACTAAACAAACTTTAGAATCAGATAAAATTTTCCAAGTATATTTTTCAATTGAATTGTATTAATGTTACAGAGGTAGAAGCACGTTTGTTAAAGGAAAACATTGACAGTAATACTCCAATGGTAAAATTAAAAGATTTAGCGGAAACCGATGAGGAACAATCGACTATCAAATCAGACATTGACAATAATGATGCTAAGAAGTCAGGGTTTATGTGAGTATGAATTGGACCAACAGGTGAACATGACAGTATTCTTTCGTGTTGTATCTTTGCAATGAGTCAAATTTCCAAGGTTTCATTGGGTAAGGGATGGAGTCAGAATATAGCATGTAGTAGTGATACTCTAGTACCCTAAGCAACTATAACTATGGCGTCTATTATCCTTTTATGCTATCTTTTTTAACACGAAACAAAAATTCAAAATCTGATATTTCCAGAAAGGTAAAGTGTGTAAACAATTATTTATGAATAATATTGCGTATCGTATACAGCTTGTCACCAAGCACTTCAGGTAGTTCTCATTGTGAAACTCAAGATAACACTGGTAGAATACAGTAATTACCTGTATCCCCGAATAAGGTTTTTAGGTTTTAACCCTTGTACATAAAGCTTCTTTTATTTGCTCCTTTCACATTGTAGGAAAGTGCTGAAAGATTTATTTGACGTACCGACACTAAAATTGGTTGTGACCTCAGTAACTTCGTGGGCTGTGGGTATTACAATGTTTGCGGACTTTACTTTTACAATGATGATGCCTCAGGCTTTGTATGCTGCTCAGTGGTATGACGTAAGTAAAAGAACGCGTATTGTTTTAGTTATATTTTATGACGTAGGGAAGGACGTGGGAGCCGGGGAATTATTATTGTCCCCACTTCTGGGGCATAGGCCTTCCCTATAGATGGAATAGGGAGATTGGGGCATGACCCACCACGCGGGCCCAGTGCGAATTGGTGGGTGCTAACTACTGCTGGTGCAGCTGGAAGCAACGGCTTAATATACCTTCCGAAGCACGGAGGAGCTCCAATTAATAAGTTTTTGATCATTCATCCAATGACCGAGCATTGCGAAAGTTGCTTAACTTTCACGATCGCAAGCCAAATTGCACTAATCATCTGCGTTATCGAATTTCTCATGAAGAACCACATATCGCAGTCCAATTGATCGCATTCACGAGGTAGAAACCGTTGAAAGTTTATGAAAAGATGATGAAAGTAAAGGAAGCACACAATTAAGACTGCGGAGAGAAAAGTGTAATGTACTAAGTATTCCTATTTTCGGAGTCAAGTAGGCAGGTTAATAGAGAAACGCCGCGAAGACGGCAAAAGTGATAGGTGTACGTATATTTTATTTAATATTTTAATAATTTACATAACATATATTTTGATACTATAATTAATAGGCTGGACAGAAATGCCATACCCTTTTTGTCTTCAAAGGGGATTACGAGTACCAGTCAGACATGTAATGTCAGACAGACGATTATTTAAAATTCCAAAAGTGTATTTCATGTTGTTCTTAAAATAAAAATGAAGTCTTTAGTCAGTAAAATATTCTATCTTCAGTATTTAAAGTACTTCCCTACTCTCCTACATGTGGCCAAGTCGTGGAGCGTCCTGTATAAATGGCCATGGTTGATGTACAAAATAATGCTCGTAATCAACATACAATCATTTGCCCTACCTAATTTCGAAATCTGGATTCAAATATACCACAAAAGATCACTACAAGCTAGTGCTCGAAAAAATTACCTTTTTTGTTTGTTTTAGAAAAATGTGGCTACGGCCATGTCCATAGTCGGCTTCGGTGATTTAGCTGCAAGAATAGCATTTGTATGTCTAAGCAACATCTTACACAAGATCGGCAATGCAGAGTTATATATTATTGGATTGTTTATCTCTTCGGTTGCAAAGCTTGGCGAGTATAATAAGTTATCAAAATTAAAGTTTTTATTAGTGAAGCAATGGTGTCGATTCTGGCAGGATTCTCTAAACTTAAAACTAAATTTAACATCAGTCTGTCCTTTTCATTTTGTATAGAGAATGACAAAGATACACTGTTGTCAAATTTAAGTTTAGCTTTAGAGAATCATGCTAGAATCGACATCATTGTGTATTTTGTGGTAAGATAATTCTAAAAGAGCAAAAACCCAAAGCTAAGTTTATGTCATCATCATCATCATCATCAGCCTTTTAATGTCCCCACTGCTAGGGCACAGGCCTGCCCTATGTATGGGACAGGGAGAGTAGGCCATGACATGACCCACCGCTATGGATTGATGGATTCTAACGACTGAAGAGCTCGAGATAAGAAGTTGCAGGTTAAAATTCTACGATTGCAAACCAAATGTGCCAAAACCTTTTTTATTTGTTATTGGTTAAGCTTTTTATCCTCTATCCAGCCCAAGAGCAGAGATGGGATCTATGGTGTAAAGAGTTTACCAGGATGGTGCCTGTTCATTTGGCTTTAAAAAGAGTCAAATTATACGTACTCAGAAACACAGACGCAGGCAGGCAATTCCTTTCCCTCGCTATACTCATTACGGCGTGATTACACTTGGCTGTTAGCCCGAATACGAGCGCCAATGGAATTCGGGTAAACAATTAAGTGTAAATGAATGGAATCGATTATGCCCTTATTCGGGTAGATTTCTTTGTTTTTCTGGCTTCGCTTCCACTAATATAATTATCACCTTTAATTCTCCTAGCTCTACGTCCCACCGAGTCCAATGCAGCAGTTAGTATTTTGCCGAGCCAAACCAACCTGATGCGCTATTGAGCACCTCAAACACTTATTTACTTTATATTATCTTAATAAATATAAAATTCTCGTGTCACGGTGTGCATAATTGAACTACTCCGAAACGGCGATTTTCGTTAAATGTTATATGCATACCTATTCAGTAAGTCTGAGAATCGGACAACATCTATTTTTCATCCCATAAATGTTAAGGGTGGGTTCATCCTTTATTTTTTTTTGGCATTTTTTATTTTATTTTTTTATGATACATACATACAAAAATACATACAACCCTAAATTTTCACCCGTCTACCCATATTTTTATGGCGATACGAAGTTTGCTGGGTCAGCTTGTTAAAGATAAAATTGTACACTGTACCTACACAGTAATAGCAGGATGTGAATTTGTTAATTTTACATTACAGGTATGATGTTCTCGAAGAATATCACCATTGTGTACGTGTTTGTGGCCGGTGTTGGAGTGGGCCGCTGTTTTTTGAGCATGCTATTGCCTATGGTGTTTGGAGATTTGTGCCCTGAGAAGTTCTCAGCTGTTATGGGAATAGGCCTAGTCTTCATGGGACTAATAGCTTTGGCTTTCGGTCCTTTAGTCGGTAAGCATGTAATTTCTAAATGCTGTCATAACAAACGTCATATATAAACCAATAATATTATGGATCTATGCCGGTGTTCGGATTGGGAAAAATAAGCAATGCATGTACACAGAATACTCGTATTTAAATATAGATATTTGTCAAAAGAAATACAACTGTCAACTTCATTTTTTTTCTGAGTGCTTTTCGAGAAGCGTCTAATGCTGCTGCAAATGTTCAGAACAATGTTGTGTTTTTTTGAGCCTTCCATCAAAACAATGTTCCGTTGTTTTGAGGTCTAATTGGAAACGCAGCAATATATATTTTCCATAAATCATATAGTAAGTACTCGTGGAAAGGATGGCAAACGCCTAATTCTCAAAACAGATAAGATGATAAGTAGCCACCATAACGCTGGCTTAATTTTTCATTTTTGCGCTATCCAGCTATTTCAATAATTATTCCCTTTCATTTCATAGTTCAGAAAGAATTTATTTATGTGTAACATTAACACTTTTCTTTTGAGTTGAAGTTATAGAATTAGCCCTTATAAACTTATCGACTGCACCAGGTTGTCAGGGCACTTGTTAACTACCGGTTTTCTGCCGGGTCTAGGCACGGTTTCTAAATAACACCGAGCTTCTAACGATAAAATCTCGCTCTGAATAAACTATGCATCGTAGTAAATAAGTGATATTGCCTTTTATTTTCCACCAGGATTGATCCGAGACTTCACTGACAGCTACGTCATCACATTTCACATCTTGATAGGAGTTAATATAGTTTGTATGATTGTTTGGTCTGCACAGCTGGTACATTGTGCGATGCGGAGGAGGAGAGCCAGCAAAAAATAGCGTTTGTTTTAATCCCAGAAAGGTGGTGACCAAGCTTATGGTCCGCCTGATGGCAAGCGGCGATTGCAAAAATATCACTCGTGCCGTCGCCTACCCTAACCCCATCCCCTACCCCATGGAGCCCTAGAACTTTACTCATCGACAGAAACACAGCATCACCAAAAGATAGTGTTATTTTACTATGGGTTTCTGTGAGGTTTAGGATCCTTCCCAGGCGCTCCAATTCTTGCGAGGATTCCGCGATGTACTACCTCTCTTAATATAGCGATCACTTATTCGAATGTTTTAGACTCCTATTTCTATTAATAACTCCACTTCGGGAAAAGGCTGTCAATTCCAAAGTTGTCAAAAATATTTAAATTCAAGTAATATTATGTAACTGTTTTGTTAATCTACTTTTTGAATTGTCAATAAGTTTTTGTGTAAATCTATTGATGGAAATGTTGCCTTGTGTGAAACTTTTAATATTTTTGTAAATAAATTAAAATAAATTGATTTGTTATTATTTTGTATTATTCATTGGCTGTACAAAAATAATGTATATATATGTAGGAAGGTATTTTACTAATCGTTAGGAGATGTTGAATTGTTCATAAACAAATTCCTGCACTTTTAACATAATTAATTGATGATTCCAATATAATTTCTGTTGCCACATTTCTCAAATCAAAGACTTTCCTTTTCAATTCCTGTTACTTTGACGATGATGGCAAAAAAATATTGACAAAAAAACTCAAATAACAACTATCGAAACATAAATCCTCTTCTTAATATTCTTTTAGTAGCATTATATCAGAAACGCAAAATAGCAGATGATTGAATTCAGTTGCGCTGGGATTTTGAATATGGGTTGCCCGGAAGAGATTGCTGCTTAGCAATAAGGCCGCCCATATTGTGTACGTTCTATCTATCATGTTTTTAATTTACTTGTGTGTCTTATATGGTGTATTACAATTAAGATTATAGAGAGGGAGTGGCTACATTTTCAATGTCAACACAGACATACACATTTTGTTACTCAGAAATATAACCAGCTCAAAAGTACGAAAAGATACGAATCACTTGAACACATATTTAGAGATGCATTAATTTTATTTATAGACGAACTCTACCACAACAACAACTTACACTAACTTAATATGAAGGGAGATTCGAACCCAAACCAATAAAAAGTTACGACGTAAGTATATTAAAGGAAAAATAAACGGCTGACGCATTACTGAGACATAAGTTATGATTCCTACTAAGGTGCAGCGCACACAAAGAGAGGCTAAGTGAAGACACTTAGCGTGGCGATTCCGAGGGCGGCCAAGAGCCACAGAGTGGTGCACGGCGACTAAGGCTCGTATTACAGAATGACAACTAAGTAATGATCTTAACTTGAGTAGGTACAGTTAGAAAGGGATGTCGCTATGTAAGACGACGATGCGACATCCTTTTCTGACTGTACTCAAGTAAAGATCAACACTTAGTTGTCATTCTGTAATATTCTAGTAGTATCGCGGTCTAGGGCCACGGAGCGGAGTAGTAGCGTGCCGGCTCTCTAGCCGCTTAGCAGCACTCTGCGTCGCTTGTGTATTATTTCATGTCTGACATGAAAATTTGAACTTCTAAGTATCTTCGCCGCGTCTCTCCCGGTGTGCGCTGTGCTTAATAAAATTTTGGTAATTTTGCGTACCTAGTTGAACACTAAAGAACATATCGTTGTATGTTAAGTAATTTTACTTTGACATTATTTTTATTTAAATTTGTTCTAATGGTAGGAAGTGATTAAAAGAAAATGCCACATTTTCGTAGCAATTTAGATCATGATTGTGTAGCAATGTACCAAATAATACGAAAATAGTTATACATAATGAAGGGAAAATATCATCACATTCTCTTGTAGCTGTTTAAAGATATCACATTATAAAGTAGTAAAGGAGAATCGCCGAAATGGCCCCAGCTAAGGCGCTAAATAAATATAACTCTGATTTTAGAGTAAAATTATTAAAAATGTCCTAAAGTTTCGCTTTTGCTAAATTCGGATACTTAGATAGTTTTTTACTCATACAAGTTTATAGTGCTAGATGTAAAAAACTCACAACAAAAGAACAGTCGACATTTACAGTGAAATAATGATGATACATGTGTGCAAAAAATACTAGGTTAATGGTAAATAAAAGATAGATACATGCTCTTCAGTCCTATACTCTGAAAAGTTAAAATACACAAGAGGGGTATAAAAATCATGTAATAATAAAAGTTTTTATTGAAGTTATACTTCTTTAGCCGCGTTATAAAAAATTATGAGAGTGAAATTTTAAGATGCGCGCGCATCACTGTAACACAAAAGTAACATAATGAAGTTAGCCGCGGGCGCGTTATGAAAAAATGATGAGAGTGAAATTTTAAGATGCGCGCGCAACACTGTAACAGAAAAGTAATACCATGAAGTCGACCGCTAAACCGCACATTACTCGTAAGTCTCGAAAAAAAGCTTCCAACAAAATAGTAATAGGATCTCTTAGTCGCACATGTTGGGACGCTCGTCGCCTCTGATCACTGTTTTCATATTTATAATATTTATCCACATGTTTCTAGTTTTATATTCTTAACACGTGTTATAATGTTATACAAATGCGAAATTTATATGTGCTAATAAATTTTATTCAGTAGTGATTTAAATTGAATATTTTGATTATTGAAGTTATACTTCTTTAGGCGCGTTATGAAAAAATGATGAGAGTGAAATTTTTAGATGCGAGCGCATCACTGTCACCCAAAAGTAACAGCATGAAGTTGGCCGCGGGCGCGTTATGAAAAAATCATGTGAGTGAAATTTCGAGATGCGCGCGCATCACTGTAACACAATAGTAACACCATGAAGTTGGCCGCGGGCGCGTTATGAATGTTAGTGTCTGTCTGTTTTAATATTTATAATATTTATCCACATGTTTCTAGTTTCTATATAGACACAACGTGTTTTAGTTACTTACAAGTGCTAATTACATATGCACTAATAACTTAAATTCAGTAGTGATTTTAATTGAATATTTTGAATATTTATTTAATTTTTCAAATTAAAACTGAACTTAATTGACTGTGTCAACTATCCTTTTCCAGTCCTTTTATTATTTTATTGTAATTATTAATTATTTGCATGCAATTAAAAAATATTTTTAATGATGCTAAAGAAGTATAACTTTTCACGCGCGTACATAAGTTACACGCATCCATTTTTTTTATTTATAAACGCATATAATTATTTAACACCCATAATAATATACTCATATGGGTGTTAAATAGCATATAAATAACACCCACATTATTATACTATTGGGTGTTAAATAGAAAGAGAAGTACAAATATGTGAATGATTTAGGCTTTTATATTTTCACGCATCAAAATACTGTTTTAACATCCTGTATATGCAATGTGTACAACACATAACCTTTAAGCTGATAATTCAGGTTGGTTGGTGGTTGCCATTAGTTATTTAATAGCATCTATAAAATTAGAGAAGGACCGAAGTTTTATTCTTAAGTTACTTATTTACATCTAGCACCTATAAAACTTCCACAGGAAAAAACTTCTAATTTAGCAGTAGCGAAACTTCAGGAGGTTTTTAATATTCTTACACTAAAATCTCAGATACATTTCTTTGGCGCCGGAAGTGGGCAATACAACTACATTCGGCAGATAATTGGCAGCTGTCAAAAAACTGTACATATATTCCATATTGAAGGCAAAGAGTACAAAGTCCATACAGCCTAATCTATTGAATGTGTACACTATGGACCAAGTAGCATCGAAATTCTATATAGATCATGAATACTGAATTTATGATTCATTAAAATAAGGAAAGAATTGGCAAACTGGAATCGACTTTATTTACTTATTGATGAAGTTCATAAGGCATAACTCATTTATTGCAATTCATAATGTTACAATAGGTATTTCAAATATTTACAGATCAGATTATGGACCCTGTCGGGCATAGCAAATAATTATTATAATAATGCAAAATTGTAACAAAATAATTACGAAACAATCAAAATTATTTTAATCAATTTGGAACCAGGCTTTATGATATCTTATCTTAAAGTTTATCATTAGATGTGTTCTTTAACATACATTTAAATAAATGCCAATTTTGTTAATTTCTAGAATTAAGACATATATTTATTATAATATTGTATTGGACATCTCACCCAGCCTCAATTTCGGTCGCTACATGGCGTCCATTGCTAAAACCGCTGCCAAAAAACTTGGAATACTTTCTGAGGTCAGGCGATATTTTACATCTGAGCAGCTCCTTAACCTTTACCGAGCCCAAGTTCGCTCCTGCTTGGAGTAATGTTGTCACCTTTGGGACGGATCTGCTCGGTATCAGCTGGATGCACTGGACTCGGTGGAACACCGTGCGAAGAGACTCATAGGCAATGACGCTCTCGTTGAGGCTAATCTCTAGACCCTTGACCACCGAAGACGTGTAGCTTGCCTCTCGGTGTTTTATCGGTTTCATTTCGGAGAGAGTGCACCGGATGACCAGTACCCTTAGTACGAGTTTTACAATTACGAAAACTATGATAGTTTTCGTGAGCTCGCACTCGTACTAAGGGTACTATTTTATTGTTTTCGTTTCAATACAAATAAACAGTGTTTAAATTCTATCATTAAATCATTTGCGTCTTCTTAAAATTTCAGTATATTTGGTTACTTTACACCAAAATGGACATAGAAACATAATTTACAATTACGAAAATTATGATAGTTTTTGTGAGCACAAACTCGTACAAGGGTACAGGCGCGGCGAGGGCTTTCACTCTTATGTTGTCGAAGTAGCTCCCATTCGCACGAAGCGATTTGTGCGATTTTTACTAATTTCGGGGAATTAATTTTGTTAATGCCAAAGCTGTTTTTGTTTTTTAATTTCTTTATAATATGTTAGATTTCGTTCTAGTTCGTATATTTTAAGTACATAAACATAGTTATGTGTAGGCGAGTAACAGGCCGGATGGTTGGCGGGAGCGCAGATAGCGACGCGCCGCGTCGTTCTCACACCCCACAGTCACAAACTAAGTCTTGAAAGTATTATATACTAAAACGGGATTCTCTATAATTTTATTGTCTATGCTTAGTTCAATATTCTTTTTTATCTGATTGGAAGTTTATTTGTAGGTTCTTTTACAATAAGCTACATAGTTTTTGTAATATTGTCTGATTTATTTATATTACGAATGTTTTTTTTGGCAATTGGACACATTTTTTAGTAATTTGTTATATGATTTGATGAATTCCTTGTTTGAGAATTAAATATTTATAACTGTCGTTTATGCCTGCATCATATTTTATACCTGTTTTGATCCAGGTCGTTTTCGCTTTATTTTTTAT